TGGTACATCCGAAACTAAATAAGGAGTCTCGGTCTCCACTTGATTCCTATTACTCAGTGGATTTACTTCACGTCTTGCTCTACATCTCTATGATCGCATGTGGTCCTGCTCCCCCTATACCATTGCCATTATGATAACATAGATTTGCTTCATATCAACCAGTCCTATCTGCTCACCATTAGTGCATGAGCTTTCAGCCACTTTTCCCCCACTGTCTGGAAGAATCACCCTAAATCCCTCCATCTCACCCCCTTCCTCTGCATTCAAAACCTTCTAAAACCTACTTTTTGATTGCATGTTTGATCACATCTGTCCTACACCTACAGCTTCCCCCCACTACACCTTCCATCTTGTTGACTTCCCACTCAATCCCTGTGAAGCACATCAAAATGTTTTTACTGCATAAAAGACACTATACGACTGCAAGTTATAAACATTATAGAGAATCACACTTTTTTAAAATTAAGAAATATAATTTTTAAAGCCTTCTACATTCATGTCTACCTACTTGCCCAGGATTTTACTTCCAGGGAAAAAAAGTCAGAGTTTGCTGAGGTAAGTGAGAAAGTGATCCCCTTGCAGTCAATGTTTTTATGATACAGAGGAAACGGTATTTGTGGTGTGAGCACTTTGTAAAGTACTTAACTCTGAATATGTTCCACAATATCAGCCAAGAGGATCCCCATCTCCACATCCGGCATTGTTATTGATGCGTTAGATCTATTAAATGTATTTCCAGACTCAGAAAAGTTTGATTTTTTTCAACCCACTCCTCATGTGTTTTCACTGAACACAACAGCAAAACCTCAACAGGACTCCCCAGCGGCCCCACCTGTACCATAAGTGAAAGAAACTCTCACATCTGCTATGTTGGGGTCAAAACCAGATTCGCAAACCAGATTCAAGCTACTAATTGCAACTTCCAGTTTGGAATATCAGGTGGCAGGATTCGCAAACCGCAATTCAAATCCTCAATCCCAAGCCATCAAAGTCAGCAGAATGATTGGAGAGAAAAACACCCAGATCCTGTCTTCTGCTTGGCAGAATTTTATCAAACTTCACCAGTTTAGGATTTGCAGTTTGCAAATCTTGCCGTGAGTTTCACAAAACAAATGTTGCCATTAATATAATGAATACTATTTGCATTTGATATAACACCTTTCATGTCAGAAGGACATCTCAAAGTGCTTGCAGCATTTTCCGTGAAGAATCTTGATTGTGTCTTTCATAAGTGGACTTGGCAAGCAATTTACATGCAACAATGCCCCATAAACAGCTATGAAGTAAATGACTAATTTTATCTGGGGGATTGTGAGCCAGACCACTAGGACAAATTCTCTTCCCTTTTCAAATAGTGGCATCGGTTATTCAACATCCATCTGAACAGACTTCCAGAACCTTGGTTTAATGTTTCATCGAAGGACGACACCTACAATCATTCAGCACACCCCCAGCTCTGCATTGGAGTGGCAGTCTACACAATGTGAGGTCAAAGTCCAAATATGGGGTTAAACCCAAAACCTTCCATTTTAGAGGCAAGAGTTCTACCAACTGAGCCAGGCTAACACCTCTTATGATTATTAGTCATATTTACAAATATCACATTTTGACCCCAATTTATTTATCAGTTATATTTTGTTAGATAACCTGTCACAGTTCTGCTGTTTCTAATACATCCAACTACAGTAACCACACTAACATGTTTTTTTGTCAACCTGGTTTCTGACACATATGGAAATCCATCTTAAGTATGGTTAGGGGGTTCCACATGTGTCAGACACCCGGCTGACCAAAAAGAATGCGAACAAAGAAAGGACAAAAGGCAGAAGGAAAACAAAATACACTTTCCAATAGGCAGTGAGGCCAATAAAGATTTCTAAAATACTGAATTACTTAAAGAAAGACTAGGCACATGTAACACATTTAGCAATAAATGCTGGATATCAGAGGCATCTTCTCTTTAAACAAATTTAATCCAACAAAAACTATGTAGTTGGCATATCGAAGAGAAAGTTAATCAAAAACAATCCTCAGCGCTTTCTTTGGGGAGGGGAGGGGTTTCTTAACTGAATGTGTTCAAATAATGAAACACATGTTGGCTATGAGGAACAATTGGATTTTTTTCAAACTTATATTATCCAAGTAAAATGTGTATTTCGACAGACTAAACAAGTCTCATAAACGGTTAAAGTCACCAGCTTCCATTTCCTTCAAAGTAATCCTTTTCTAATCTTTCAGTTGTATTACTGCTTAACAATGTAACAAACCCAGTATTTGTCCACTTGGGACTCCTCTACTTGTTAAGACTTGGGCTCACAGGGTTGTGAGGACATGTTTACACATTGAAGTCTCATTGTCGAATCAGTCAGGGTGGTCAACCATCAACAGATTTACTGCGGATCTGCCTGTCATTTTGCCAGGTGTGTCTCCACAGATTCAACCTTGGCAAAATGATTGGACCGGAAAAAATCTCCATTCTGTTGCTGCTCCTGATCTTATAGTTTGGTGTTTGAATGCAGCTAAAAAACAAAATAGCAACTTAATTCAATCGGCATCCAGTGCAGCACAACATCTGTAATTTGAGTCTTAATTTTGAACTAGTTTTCTATATAGAACTATAGACAAACAACTTCAAATTTAAAACCTAATTCAACAATTTGTCAAATTCTGAATGCTGTAAACTGCTACATCAAGAGAGTAAATTTTAAACACAAACAATTTCTCCCCACAAATCTGGTATAAACTGTCTTAGTTTTTCACTTTGTTATTTATTGTTTGCAACAGAGTACACTGTATTGCTAAATTGAGAAAGACACGTATTAGCACTTGGGGTTGAAAAAATTGTATGTATAAATTAGGTTTTATGGTTAAATTAAAATTAGCGAGTTAGCCTATTCTTTAGTAGTTCTGAGTGTAGTTTGTTCCACCCACTGTGTATTAGTGATGAGACTAAATTCATGTTCAAAACGAAAAGACATCGTAGATTAAGTTACAAACACATGATCTGTAGCAGAGGATCCAACGTAATAGTAGATCAAAGTTCCAAACAAACAATTAATACATTAGAAAGAAATGGTGGGAGCAAAAAATGCAACATTTGATGAAGAATTTGATGTGCTAATTATCACAATGAAATTTGCATGTCGCATTTTCACCCCAGTATTGAAATTATATTCTTTTTATTTTCTAGTGGAAATTGTATCTTGTGAATAGGCCTTAGATTTTTAAAATCATTTACACTGCAATTTATTACTGGAATTTTCTTCCGTTCTCATTTCTAAGAAGGACATTTTGTTCCCCCATAAATTTTTACTCACAGAATCAAAATCTGAGAGCTATAATTGAAGGTAACTTGAACTCCAAGCGTAAAGTGTACATTCAGGCTATAAATTTGGAAAATACTTTTCAGGCTGTCTCTTGCCAGGGCTTTTTGTTGCTTCTGTTTTCCAACCATTCTCCAGATGCTGTATATGAGAATGTATCCAGGATAAAAACATTCAAGGGCATGGAATCCATCTTAATTGGTGTGCAGAGAAGTAAGCAGCTGCTGTTCAAGCTCCATATCTACAACTGATGGACAGATTGCTCACTGGGTAGGCATGTGTGTTCATGTTGTGGGTTGGAGGACGGTGGCAATGCTCTCACTCATCTCCCCTGAGCTGTGATGCCCACCAAGAGTTCCTGGTACCATGCCATCCACTTAGTGAGGACTCAAACCTGCGCTTGATAGGTGGCAGTGACTTATTGGGGAGAGATAAAGTAAATATCCTTAAAGGAATTTTGAAATAAATGGAAGCTAATGATTGAATTGACTCCAACGTGACATACTGCTTTGCTACAGAATGTCAGAATAAAGCCAACCCTCTGTGGCATTCTTGAAAGTCTGGTTCCTGAGCCAGAGCTGTCATCAGCAATGCCGCAGGATATTTCTGATGCCAGCCAAGTCAGTCTGCCTCATTGGCAGAACTTGGAAAGGAAGACCAGTCACCGGGGCAGGGTTGCTTCCATTCAGTAACAACAACTTGCATCTATATAATGCATTTCATGCAGGATTGTGGCTCGAAGCGCTGCACAGTGGTGGGGTTGCACACTCAGTTCCGGCTAAACCTGCAGAGCAACGCCCTAACTTGTAAAGTGGGCAAGCAGCAGGAAACTTGCCAAACAGTGCTTTCAACAGCAAGCTGTGCAGTTTTTGCTGGTTAAATTCCAGCAGTACCCCAACTCACACTCTGGGGACCCCAACCCTTGGCTCTTACCAACCTGCACCTAATACTTTCTGTAATTAGGTAAGCAGGAAGCATCCCTCTGGGGAGAGTGTGCATAGACATAGGGAATTTCCATGTGTAATTTGGATACATGGAACGCTCCGTCTAGGTTGGATACTCTTAAGCTTGGTAATGGGTTTCTACATGTGTCAGACACCCAGCTGACAAAAAAGGAGGTTAATTCCTGGGTATGTAGTATTTCCCATCACTAATCTGCCAATACAAATCATTTAGGACAACTACATTATTATAATAATTCATTCTAATTACCTAATTATAATATTGTACACGTATCCTTTCATTTGATATAGAACTCTATCCCGTTGTCAAGTCATCTCAAACTGCTTCACAAGATTTACTCTCAAGTGTTATGACTGTGTATATGAAGGCGAACACAGCAGCCACTTTACACAGTCACTACACTTTATAGTAAATCCTGTGAAGCGCTTTGAGACGTCCTTGTGACGTGAAAAGGATTATATCAGATATAAGGATGCAGGATTATTTCAGAATGCTGATTTTCTTGAATTCTCCTGCTTTCTCCTCCTATTCATGCCCCTCCCACCCCCCACCAACCCCCCCAATTCCACACCTTATTTTGTTACAATGGGAAATCTTAGTTTCATATCCCAGCGGGTTTAAATCAACCTTCATTGGCAAAACATTTGGAAGCTGTTTGCATTATCTGTAATGTATTCCTCAGAGAGCTGTGAAAGGACATATTGCAGCACTTACTATGGAAGCCGAGAAAGGACACCTGCACTGATGGAAGTTAGTGCATCGTTCACTCGATAGGCTCCTTGACCCTCTTTAAGCCAGGTGACCACTAGCTCTATGATCATTAATCCAACAAAATAGGGAGTAGCCTGCAAAAGATAACCAGGAACATTATCAATCCAGCACTTACTAAATTAATTATTGATATCACAACATTTTGTTGCCAGTTAATGAACTGCAGTAAGGCTGTGAAGTTTAATAATTAGAATAGTTTCTTTGCCTTAAATCTTTATCCATAGTATTTAAGTTATAATAGCAGAGATGACATTTTTGTACTGTATTTTCAGTACAATTGTGTGATGATAGACTAGAATCTGAAAAGAATAATTACCACAAACAACTAGGCCTTGCAGATAGAGTGGAAATTCAAGGGGAAATATTTAAGAATAATACCTCTTTTTTTTTACCTCTGCCCTGGTGTTTTGCCCTCCTAGATAGCTAAGCCACTCTAAGCCTCAGTTGGCACAAGCTCATGAGGAGCTTCCACCTTGTATGCGTATTGCTCTATTCAGTACTGTACCAGACAATACTCCTGCGCTGAGTTGCGTTCTTTGGTTAGTTTTGAAATAGAGGGGCACAGAGGTTAAAATAATTAAATGGAAAGGAAAGAGAAGTACTTCCTCTATTATAAATCTAGGCAGACACAGCACTACTGAGAAACACTTCCTGACCTGAAAAGATACAATGCATTATACTGGAGACTCTTCTTTCCCAGGAAATCATCTAAAACCATCTGTGCCTTCATTTCAATATGATTTTCTTAAACATTGAATGGATCATTGTTATACAGCTCAAATTCCTGAACCCTTGCTGTACTATAAATGTTGAGGGCAGTGATTTACATTTATTGCGAGTGATCCTAATGTTAGAATGTAACTACTTACATGTCACCTTATGGTGACTGGCACAGTTTTATTACAATCTCCTTTATAGATCCTCCTCAGGTACCACTCCTCAGTCGTGCTGAGATACCTGGTTACTCGGGTAGTTAATTTGGTGAATAGATCATCACTGTATCTACCCTCCCATGGAACCCCCTCCAACTCTATCATCAAGTAACCTGTATTTCGCACATTATTCATTAATAACTATGATTTTTATAAGGCCTTGGACAGAGTGGAAATTCAAGGGGATATCACACTGTGGAAGTGTATCCTCTATGAAGTGGGTGACACAGTGAGTGCTTTCTGCAGGTAGACCAGATAAATGTCAAAATCTTTTTATGTTGGTTCAGTCTGGTTAGGATTTCCCATTCCCATTTCCTGCTCACAAATGCCCTCAGCTCCTGCTCCCTCAGCTCAATTCAGACGCAGCCTTGCGTCCCCAATGCCTAGAGTTGGATAGGTCCAAATTATAAAGATGTGATACTGAAAGAGTTAACGCCAGCAATGTTATAATCATCTAGTGACATAATTTGTTGTTCTACACAAAACTCTCACCCCAGGTAACAGCCATTTTCATATTTAGTATTATCGTAAATTTTCAGTAACATATTTCATATTTAATAACTTATTTGGTAACGTATTTTATATTCAGCAACAAATGTTTCACCCCAGAAGCTCTGTGTATAAACTACTGTCACAGAAGTGTTTCTATTCTACAACTTGATAGACCAACAGGCCTTTAAAAGAAAGATATGTTGACAGCATTTACTATCATCTCCTCACCTGATCTACGTAGTCAGGCACTTCCTCGATCTCTTTGAACATAGTTTCATTTGGGGTCAAGGCGTAAAACATGAGCCGAAATCCCTGTGAAAGGGACAAATTGGAGTCCAAATACAAGACCATGATCACAAGGAAAATCTTAAATTAAACCCTCGGGTCTGAGCTTCACATTAACAAATGATTTGCTTTCTCTGGTGGGTGACAGATCTTCGGCTGAGATCAAATTCAAATTCTGCACTGACAGGCACGGGCAAGGCAACCCATGAGAATAAGCTATTTTCCGCATGCGTCACACGCTCAGCTGACCAAACAAATGAGAACAAGCAATGAGATAAGCTGGACAGAGTTCATTCCTGAGTAACAAAAACAAGGAATGCATGAACCAGAGTAAACTTTGCTACTATCTTGGAGCTGCATTGGTATCAGTGATATGTCACATGCAGGAGTTCAGGACTGGCAAAATAAATGTCAGTTTAGGCAAATTAGATATGAATAAACACAATAGGAAAGGCTTTCAAATAGTTGCTCTCTGCTTCTGTTTTATTGTAAAAAAACATTAATAAACCCATACTTTATTTAATCTTCTCATGCTTCAAAATAAAGCTTTTCATTATAAAATGGAGAAAATCAAATGAAAGAAGCACAATAATAATAATCCTTACATTTGATTTAGCACCTTATCACTTTCTCGAGACATCTCAAAGCACTTCACAAGATCTATTGTAAAGTGGATTGACTGTATTTTGGGGCAAAATTCATTAATTTTTTATCACCATATTAGATGCTATTATTAAATGTGTTGTGGCCTCTCATCTGTGTCTCTTCAATGAGCTATTAACAAGCTCAAGAAACTTTTTTCTCCGTTACCATGAAAGATGGTAACTCCAGTTTCTAATGGGTAGGAATGTTGAACACAATTCAGTATTGGCAGGATATCCTGAGATTCTGCCCCCTTTTATATGCACAGCTATATTTTCATTAAAATTAGCAAACACTGGAATGTCGGGAACAGAATATTTTAGCAGAAATGCATGCGTTCATTTTAATTTAAATTTTAAATTGCATTTTGAAACGTACTCTTATTCCTGGTGAGGTTATATTTTCTCATTGTAGCACCATTGGCTAGGAAACAGGGTCAGGGTACAGATGTGTGCAGCCTAGAGCTGTCATCTGCACAGTCTGTCTACCAGCGAAATGGTTACCACGGCAGGATGACTGGAGTAAAAATAACATTACGCAGAGAATAATGGATACCCGGAGGGATTACGAAGCACTGATCTCATTGAGAGTTTCACATCACAGCATAAGTTATGTGAGTGTAGCTCCAGTGTGTATTAACAGCTTCACAAAACCTGAAATGAAACCTGTGTCCAAAAATCAAGCCTGTGAATTTAATTTCTTGTCAGTGCTATCTGGCAGAGACCAAAATCCATTCGCAATGTGTAGGCATTCCAGAACCAAAAATTCCACTTTGTTTTAGCCATGTAAGACTATTATATCTTACACTTCAAGATTGCACAGAATTGAGGAAGATTCTTATATTCCGTCTTAATTCAGAAGCCTCTTTTGAATCAAGACTGAATTCAAGAATTTTTCACAATTACGTGAAATCTTAAATTCTCATTCAAAATGCTCTCATAGATTAAGACGAGTTGGAATTTCAAATCTTCTGCTTTCGACACTTCAATCGGGATCATTTATGAATATTATAAGCTCACCCTCAATTGCTCAGATAGTTTATCCAGTGAGTAACTGAATCACACAGACCAGGAAAGTATTGGTCCAGCCAGGGCTCTATGCTGAGTTTTGATCTCAGCTGGGCCAGCAATAATAGCCTCCCTTTGGCTTCAGGTGATAGAAGGGAGAACAACCCACTCTTGATCCACTACTATCCAGTGACTCCAGCTAGAGGGGCATGTATGTGGATGCCAGGTGACAAGAGGAGCAGACTGGGCTCTGGTTTCCCTCATAGATGAATAGTCTGAAAGCACTCACTGTCAAGGTTCACAAATGAAAGTCACTTTAGTGGAGGCACCCAGCATGTGTGAAGCTATATAACCATATCTCCCAGCAGATGTAAAAAGGAATTGAAAACTTCAAGAGAGGAAGGGAGCAGAGATTGATTTAGATGAGAGAAAAACAAATATTTTGATAAAATTTGCATTTAAATAGAACCTTTCACATCTGTAGGACATTGAAAAGTGCTTCAACATTAACATGATCACACCATTAATCCCGATATATAAAATTCACCTATTTGTTCATTGACCTGTTCAGTTCTGTCATAAAGAATTGCAGTCCATTTGCTGGATATGTTTTGCCATTCAGAAATCCATAGTGACTTGGAATCATCCACTTTGCCTTTGTTCGATGTGCTTGAATTACTTCCTTTATAGCAGACTCCAATGTCTTTTTCCTACTATAGATGTTAAACTAACACATCTGTGATTTCACAGGATCACAATCTCTGACCTTTTCTTTCAAAAAAAAGTGGAACATTAATTATTTTCTGTGGTAGAAATAAAACCGAAAAACTGCAGATGTTCGAAACCTCGAACAAAAACAGAAAATGCTGGCAATTCACGATTGGTCAATCAGCACCTGCAAAAGAAAAATAGGTTAAAGTTTTGGCTGTAACCCTTCATCAGAACTGAAGCTATGACACTGGGGAGACCCTGTGTTGGATAGTGGAGTCCAAGTCAAGAAATTAAGGCATTGTGAAGAAGTTAACAACTAACTGCAACATGAGTCCTGTAGTGGAGTGAAGTCCTGTTTAGTGTTTAGAGCATTCGCCTCACGAGCGAGAGACCTGGGTTCAATTCCCGGCAGGGCAAAACGTTAGGCAAGTTTCCTTACTCCACATGCCTCTATTTACCTACCAGTAAGTAGGAACCCGGTTGTTAGTCGATCGGCGGATCGCTTTTCCGGGGGTAATAATTCCTTNAAAAAAAATCAAATTGATCGCTCAAACCACGTCTGTTTGTGGGACACTGCTGTGCACAATTGGCTGCCGCATTTCACCCACAACATTTACAGTCAATTCACTTTACAATATATTTTGTGAAGTGCTTTGAGAGGTCTCAAAGACATGATAAGGCGCTATATCAAATGCAATGATTATTATTAATACTATTATTATCATGAGACAGCAGATTGTCCATTAGTTTGTTAGTTAGTAGCATTGCTGCTTTATAAAGCTAAATAAAGTGCCAATCTTGAAGTTGCTTCAGATCTAGATGTTGCCATTGAAAATAACACCACCATCGTCCTGATGGCATAGTGGATTGACCACATTATGGAGCTCAGTGGTTTGAATCCTCATCTGTACTTATTGCTCGGGCCCCAGTGGGGATGCACAGCAGAGTTACACTGGCCTTGGTAGGGACTTCTCAGGGTTAGGGAGAGGTAAATAACTGCACTGGATGGTTCTTGCACTGGATGGTGGGGATAGGTCAGCTTTGGCTGTGACACACTCTGCATTTGAGCAACCTGTTGACATTCACTGCCAAGGTTCACACATGAACACTTAGACATGGAACTCCAGAGTACTACATCCCAACAAGAGGAGGCCAGAGCAGGAACATAGAGGCATGTGACAATGAGCAGAATAATTGGATACGCTGAATTTAATAAAATATTAAGATTGTGCCAAATTATGAAAAATTCTTAGATTCAGTCTTAATTTGGAAGCCAGTTTTCCCACAGTTCTCTAAAAGCTCTAAGTTAAAACTAAGTATAAGATTTTCCACGATTCTGGATGAACTTTGAATTTTAAGACAAAAAAAGCTTTCCAGACTATGCCTTGGCGGAATTGTCTTAAACCTATGCTAACTTACAATTTAAGAATTGTGGAAAATTCTCATATTTAGTCTTAATTTGGAAGCTGATTTGATCAGCTGTTAAAAAGAAATAGGCTTCCAAATTAAGACAGAATAAAACACTTTCACAAGATTCTGTTTAATTTTTAATTTTAAGGCATTATGGTCTTACAGGCTAAGGCTAGATTATTATTAGTGGAGTCCTGTAGCTCAGTGGTTAGAGCACTCGCTTTGCAAGCGAGAGACCTCAGTTCAATTTCAGGCACAGGGCGAAACCTTGGGCAAGTTTCCTTACTCCTCACGCCTAATAATAATCCCTCCAAAACCAAAAACAATAATAAATTGGTCATTTTCAATCCATGACTGTTTGTGGGACATTGCTGTGCGCAATTGCCTGCCGCGTTCGCCCACAAATATACAGTCAATTCACTTTACAGTGTGTTCTGTGAAGCGCTTTGGGACGTCCTCCCGACGTGAAAAGCGCTATATCAAATGCAAGGATTATTATTAGTAGTAATAGTAGTAGTAGAGCCTCTGATTAGCAGAGAGGATCAACCTATCATCATATTCTACAGTGTTTTGTTCCACTAATCAATCTCACAAAGTCGAATGAATCTCAATTTAATTTTTATTGCTTTTAAGTAAATTTCACGGACTCATATAATTAGGAAATAAAGATTTGGAAAGTGCATTGTTACAACAATTGTTACGATTTGCTTTTTTGTGCCTGTTGAAAGAAGACAACGGAGGTAGTAACCATGACACTTGCTTGGAAGACAAACGTTGAAACAAAGAGATTAGGGTGGATTTCAGCTTGATTCTAGACAGGGGAAAACAGACCTAGCCTCAGTTTGGCAGGCTATTCAACCAGAATAAATATCAATGGTAGTGCTTTAGGATGAAAAATAGTTCCCTATGAGACTCTAACGAGGACATAATAACCTACACCAGCATGCTTCTCAGTGGTTGACAGAAGCAATCAGTTACACAAATGACACTCTCAGTGTAGTTATTATGTAAGTTTATTTTCAATTATTGCATCATTCTTTAGTACTTGAATGGCACACACTTGTTATGACTGCTCAATCTATTTTTGCAAGATGATTGATGTGGAATTAAGAGATGTTTTTTATTGAAGGGATTTGTACAAGCAGCACAGAACGTGACTTAGGTAGATTTGACGTTATTAAGTACACAACTGAGTTATTTGTCATCATTAACTAGTTTGAAGACTAGGAAATTTTCAGGCACAATATGGAACTGTCATTATGAATTCCAAGAAAATATATGTAGGCTCCTCTTGTTTTTCGTGGCAACTGAACACATTTTAAAATCCAAAGTATATATCAGTTATAATAACATTAATTACATGAAATATAGATATAACCTTGTAGTAATCTTGAACATATTTAAAATAGAAGATTTGCAATAATGTTGTTATGAAA